TATAAAACAATTATATTTTCATAACAATTAAATAATGATGAATACATTTCATATTGATTTAACACTGTTTCAAAAATTGTAAAATAGAAATAAAACATTTAACAATAACAATAATTGTGGTGCAATATGATAAAATGAAATATTATGCAATCATTAAAATGTGTGTAAAGAATAATAGCATGAAAAAATTCTCGTTACTGTGATAATGGATAAAAAGTAGGAATCAATAAATACATATAACATCCTCCCATACATTTTCAAATATTATATATATATATATACATATATATATATGGGGAGAGAGAGAGAGAGAGAATATCACTGGAGAGCACTATACCAAAATATTTAGCGTTACCCTGGGGAGATTAGAATTAAGAAAATGATTTTTCCATAATTTAAAAAAATTCTACTACCATTTAGCTGTTTGGGGGGAACTTTAAAAGCATTACTTCTGTACAGATCCAGGGGACCACTACAGAGTTTTCCACACGTTTTGTTTCAGAAGCCACTCTTTTGGGAAGTAACTTCTTCCACACAATTTGAGATATGAACACAAAAGGATGATTGTTAGCTCATAATTTAACTGGTCACATAAAAGTACATATTTTAATAAAATATTTAGCCAGGAGTGGTGGCACACACCTGTAGTCCCAATGCTGAGGAGGCAGAGGCAGGAGAATCGCCGAGTTTGAGGCCAGCCTGGGCTGCATAGTGACTTCAAGTCCAGCCTGAACTACATAGCAAGACCTTGTCTCAAAAATAAATGAATAGGGTTGGGCATTTAGCTCAGTGGTTTTACCGCCTGCCTCATAAGTACACGGTCCCAAGTTCAATCCCCGGTACCAAAAAAATAAATTAAATAAATAAATAATAAATGAATAAATAAATATCACTTATTTACTGGAAAATATTTCATCTCAATTATAGCATGAATTATCATAATAAAGGTATAGCTGTGTATACTGTAAAACACTGCTGTCAGCAATTGCATTAAATCTTCAAATAAGTACTTTTTAGCATATTGTGAAATAGAATTTACGACCACTTGCTAGAACACACAGATAGTGTTCAATCAGAAGCTCCCGTACAGTTACCATACGACACTGAACAGGTAAAGATCCAACATACATTTAAACTTCTGACTTTCCTTGAGCCCAGAGTATTTGAAAATGACACAGGATTGGGTTTTTAGGCAATGTGACGAAACGTTCAAGGTTAATATTGTAAATGAAAACTTGGCAGAACAGCACCGTCCACTCTTACCGAAGAAAGCTCATCACAGCCCAGCAACGTGTAGTAATCTTCACTATCGTCCAACCTGTAATTCAGTATTGCATCCATTTAGATGAGTAAATTCGTTTCTTTCCTCTCAGAAACAAAAGACCCAATGAGGCCCAAATTAATAGAATAGAACCCTCTACAGATCTGAGTACAGCAGCACACTCGGAAAGGCAAGAGCCAGTCTTAGACCGGTCATAGACAGCGCCGCAGTTGTCACTGGAGACCTTTGTGAGCACCACCTCCCATTGGCCGTGCTCAGACGGGGACCGCCTCCGATTGGTCGTGCGCAGACCGGACCCAGAGCCTGAGGTAGCGGTGCCTCCCGGGGCCTGCAATTTGAGCTTGGGAAGTGGTGCGGGTGAGCCATTCATCTTAGAGTTAGAAAAGACTGCTTTTACAAACTCCCCAAGTCATCTCTCCATTTTCTATATATTTTTATTTTTTTCCTTTTTTAAGAAACAAAAACATTGGAGCCAATGCGGTATATTTTACAATTTTTTAAATAGGAATAGTGGGTATTCTTCTGAGTTTTTACAGTATTTTGTAATTTGGGAAGGCTGGAGGTGTAGTTTGGTGGCAGAAAACTGAACACCCCTCGCGGGCCCCCAATAAATGTTATTTTAAACATAAAAGTGGAAGAAAATAAACTAGTGTAGGAAGTGCTCATTAGTTTCACAACTTATCCATTCAATATGTATTTACTGAGGAGCTATTTTATGCTCACACAGTCTTGATCCTTTGGGAGGGATTGAGACTGGGTTTCACTATGTAGTTCAGGCTGGCCTTGAACCCATATGTGGCCCAGGGTGGTCTCAAACTCACTGCCATCCTCCTGCCTCAGCCTTCTGAGTGCTGAGATTTCAGATGTGCACCACCACATCTGGCCAAGTCTTGATTCTTATAGAGCTTGGCTACTTATTTTCTTTTTCTTTTCTTTTTTCTTTTCTTTTCTTTTCTTTCTCAGTGCTAGAGATCAAACTCAGGGCTTTGTGGATGGTAGGAAAGCCATAGCTCTGGGATACATCCCCATTTATTTCTTGAGACAGGGTCTCACTACATTGCCTAGGCTGGGCTCAAACTTTAGATCTTCCTGCCTCAGCTTCTCATATTGCTGGGATTACAGGCGTGCAATTGCTTTGAAAATTGGGCCCATTTTTATTTTAAATTTTAGTTTATTTTTTGAATAGGTACTACATCCACATAGTATAAAAATGTAAATGCATAAAAGAGCAAACATGGCCAGGTGTAGTAGTGCACACCTGTAATTGCAGTACTCAGGAGGCTGAGGTAGGAGGATCACTCAGAGTACGAGGCCAGCCTGGGCTACATAGGGAGTTCAAGGCCAGCCTGGGCTGCATAGAGAGACCCTGTTTCAAAAAAAAAAGTAAGCATGAAAATTAAGTGTCTCTCACTTTTGGCCTCCACCCACTGGTTCTCTTCCCTAGAGGGGTAACCCCTGTTACCAGTTTCTTTTTTGTTTTTTTGTTTTGTTTTGTTTTGTTTTGTGAAAGAGGGTCTTGCTATGTAGTCCAGACTGTCTCTGAACTCCCTATATAGCCCAGGCTGGCCTTGAACTTGTGATCCTCCTACCTCAGCCTCCCAAGGCTGAGATTACAGGAATATGCCACCATGCCACCTTGTTATCAGTTTATGTTTAAAGTTCTTCTGTGTTTACAAATACACACACATTTCTTGGACCTCCGTATAAATGGTAGCATGTTTATACAGTTATCTCGGTTCATTCTTGCTGCTATAACAAGGTATCTTAGACTGGGCAATGTAGAAATGTTTCTCATAGTTCTGAAAGCTGGGAAGTCTAAGGTGAAGATGCTGACAGGCCACTTCTGCTCGGGACTCACTCTGTGCTCTACAGATGGTGTCTTGTTGCCGGACCCTCACATGGTGGCAGCCCCTTTCCACCTCTTTTCTTCTCCCTGAGTCCTTTCTTCAAATATAGATAGAGTATATACTAGCCTGGCAGTTTCTTCTCTAAAAATTTACCTTGTGTATATAAAAGGAGTGATCAAAATATATATTGAATATTTTTCTGAAGTTTTAAACATTTATTATCATCAATCCTTCTTAAAATATTCACACACATACCCCCTTACCTCCAATACACGTATCCCATCATTCTTACCACTTCCTAAAGGAGTTCTGGAAGTCCTCTTTCATAAGTATCCTTATGAGGTGTGATTAAAAAAAAAATATGCTGAATGCTGCTGCTGAGTGTATCCAACAGAAAGGCAGGCTGTAAAAACACCACAGTATGTCCTTATCCACCTTACTCACTGGATCTGGCACCACTGAACTTCTGGTTTTTCCCAAAAGTCAAAATGACCATGAAAGGTAAATTTTTGACTGGATTCAGGATATCAAGGCAGCCATGACAGCAAAACCAAAGACACTCAGGAAAGAGGACTTCCAGCCGGGCATGGCAGTACATGCCTGTAATCCCAGCACTTGGGAAGCTGAGGCAGGAGGATCGCCACAAGTTCGAGCCCAGCCTAGGCTACATAGTGAATTCACAGACAGCCTGAACTACATAGCAAGACCCTGTCTCAAGAAAAAAAGAAAAGAAGAAAATGAAAAAAAAAAAGAGGACTTCCAGAACTCCTTCGAGAAGTGGCAAGCATGACCAGATTAGTGTGTTTGGAACAAGGGGGAGCACTTGAGAGAGATTAATGGCAATGTGCCTCTTAATGTAATAATTTTTAAAATTTAAACATTCACCGAATAATTTTTTTAATTTAAACACTCACCTTATTTTAAATCACATCTTATATACTAACTGTTGCAGTGTTGTTTGCAACAGAAAAAAAAAAACTAGAGACAACCAAAATGTCCATCTATGGAGCAGAGACAGGGGCTCGATGAATAAATTGTGACATTGTAGTAGGATGAATTACTATAAAGCCATTAAAAAGAGACTAAGATAGCTCTTTATCTGCAAGTATGGAAAGACCTCTAATGAAAGGGGGAGATTGAAAAGATTGTTATAATAGTATCTCTTTGTGTGGCTTTAAATAATATGTACATTTGTGTGACAGTGTAACCTGGGTTAGTCTTATAAAGTCAAAAATGAAATAGCAGATAAAGAAGATAGAAAGAAGCAGTGTTTTTAAGAAGAGATAAATAGCCCCACTAGTCAAGAGGGCATCTGAAAGTAGGTTGCCACAGAGACTTTGTCTGAGGCTTCTTAGACTCTCCAAGTCAAACTGAGGTCAGGCTATAGGACTAAAAGAAGCTTAAACTAGAAAAGGCCCTCTGAGGAGTCAAGGCACGTAGCAGAAGTATGTCTGCAGGTGCCTCTTGGCCTCTATTCTGAGTGGTTTATTAAAAGAACAAAGTGACAGAGAAAAATCTAGGAGCACAAGTGGTCACAGTGGCTGTCCACCACCTTGCTTGTCACATCCCTGGACTCCTGCTCATCCTGACTCCATCTTGGGCCCAGCACTTTCATAGCTGCCTGCTCCCTTCTGCCTAACTTGCCTGTCTATAATATTTGCACTTATAATTTTTTTCTGGAGAGATGTGCCCTTTTTTTAAACCAGAGATGGAACTCAGGACCTTGCATTTGCGAAGCAGGCATGGTGCCACTGAGCTAAATCCCTGGCCCAAGATATGCCTTTTAAAAGAGACAACAAGTGAGGCATAGAAAAAGAGGCCAAAGCCTGGCACAGTGGCGCATGCCTGTAATCTCAGCACTTGGGAGGCTGAGGCAGGAAGATCACAGCAAGTTCCAGGTCATCCTGACCTACATAGTGAGATACTGTCTCAAAAAACCAAAAAGACACCAGGGATTTAGCTCAGTGGTTTTGCCGCCTGCTGCGCAAGCGCAAGGACCTGAGTTCGATCCCCGGTACCAAAAAGAAAAAGAAAGAGAGAGGAAAACAGGCAACAGTGTTCTCATTTTAGGAGAAAAACTAGGTACAGAAAGGAAGTTTTTATTTTAGTTTATCCATTTCTGAACTGTTTTATATGAAATCAATGCAGTTATGCCTTTTTTTTTGTTTTCTTCTTTATGTTTTTACTATTTTTAAAAAGCAAGTATCAGCTGGGCATAGTGACACACGCCTATAAGTAAGCCCAGGAGTGAGGAGGCAGAGGCAGGAGGATTCCCGTGAGTTCAAAGAACCCAGCCTGGACTACATAGCCAAATACTTAAGAGGGAAAAAAAAGCAATCAAGCATCACCTGCTTTATTTGTGTATGCTCACTGAAGAAAACCAGTAATGTATGTCTCAAACCACACAGTAACAAAATCACACAGAGGGCCGAGGATTTAGCTCAGTGGGACTGCAAGTGCAAGGTCCTGAGTTTGATCCCTGGTACCAAAAAAAAAAAAAACACATAACTTTTCAATAGAGTTTAAAACTCTGAAATTCAAGATTCAGAAAGCCAGCTGGCCAAGGTTGGTATTAACAGGGCCCTAAAAGCCACCAACTCCACTCCTGTCCAGGTAGCTTCGCTCACTGAGGACTACAATTCCCATGAGGCACAGTGGGAACGGCGCTGAAGGAGTGACGACAGACGTGCAGCTACTTCCGGTTTCCAGGGCGTTTCCCCCACCCCACCCCCCGTCCGTCCCACACACCCCGCCCCCCTTCGTTCGAAGGGCTGTAGTTTTTTGAAATTCTTTCTCCGGGCAGAGGGAAAAGGAAAACAACTAAAACTCAGTTAAAAAAGAAAAAGAACTGTGCTAGGGAGAAGAGACTACAAGCCCCAGAAGCTTTGAATAAGGATGAACTGTTAACTCATAAGTGGGATTCCCCTCAGATCTGGAAATCCACTCAAACACGCCCCCTCGTGCCTCTCATTTTTCGTTCCATTCTTGCCCCAGAGTTCTGCTGCGCAAAACGGGTCAGCGCCTTTCCCTTGCTGTTCTTCCAAATCTGAGCTTCCAAAGAGCAAATTCCAAGTACCAGAAACTATCTGCAACCACTGGTCCTCATTTCCCAGGCACCACCCACCCCCACTGTAACTGCCTTTCCCAGGCTGGGATCCTAGACCAGCTGTCCGCTCTGACACTAAGGCTGGATTTGACACAACACCAGCTCTCAAGGCCAGCGCCTCAGAATCGACTGATCATCTCCATTTTAAGACCCAGTAGAACGAAAACGGAGCCTGGCAGGACCTGAACCGCCCCGTTTCCCACCCTCCATTTCCGGGGATTGGTTTGTTTGTTTTTATTGAGAGAGGGTCTCCCT